TGCGGGCGGGCTTGCCTATCGCCCCTGTCCACGGCGCCTTACGAGCCGAGCGAGTAGGCAACCCGCCCGCACTCGTGCATGCGGTACAGCATAACTACAGAAGAGCGCGACCTGAATCAGACACCTGGTACATAGAAAGGAGGAAGAAAAATAGCTGGGTGGAACATTTACGCTCCTGATTGGTCGAGAGTTTCCCGGCCCTCCTACTAGAGCAGATCATCCATGTTGACCAATCAGTAACCGTCATCTTCTACCCCGCTATTTAATTCGGTCCTCGAGTCCCCTATGACTCTATAGTTCACATTGTTCATAAGAAGCGACAACACGCTGCGCGGCACTCGGTCGGCTGGCGGAGGATGGCACCGTACCCGTGGGGGCGACGACCCCTTACGACCCGATCATTGCCAGCGCCAGGTCGTCACTTTCATGTAATCTAGCATTACTTTCAGCTATTCCCACACAGCAGACAATGTCCAGAAGGGACGCGAAAAGCGGCGCCCGCAGGCCCGTACAAAATGCAAAGGCATAAAGAAAGACACCCTTGCTCCACACCGCAGTGCTCAACTCAGTGCACCTTTGGCCTATTGCTGATTATGTAGGTACTGGCCTCTCACTCGAGATATTTTCAGAATAGTGTAAATGTTTTCGCTCATTCCCAACCGTGTAAATTTTGTGAATACAACGTAAAGCGATAAGGCGGCGCGTGCGTTTACCGAAAGAGAGAGAATGAGAGGGCAGACGAGGGAAATAAAGAAAGATGGGGGGGGGGGGGGGGCTGGCGGTGACAAGTTTCGGAGAAGTGCGGAGTCGGACCATGGTCGGACGAGGGCCGGCATCGACCACAGGTACAAGAAGCCCAGGCCCGGCTCGGCCCCGCGCCCCCTTGCATCGGCTGCACTTTTCTCCGCTCTGCTCGGCTCGTCAGCCCGGGGCTCCGGCCTCCGGCCGCGGCCAGGGCAGAGCCAGGGCCTTGTCTGGCCACCTGGACCCTTTACGACGTCGTCGCTCCGCCCGGTCCGGCTCGGCTCGGCCTCTCTCCGGGGGCCTCGGCGCGCCCCGGCAGGGCTCGGGAGGGCTACGGGCTCGGCTCGTCTCGGCCCGGCTCGGCCCGGCTCGGCTGCTCGGCTGCGGCCGCCGGGCCGCGGCGGGGGCCGCGGAGCCGCAGGGAGGGGGAACCAGGCGGGGGGTCGGCCGCGGGGCCCAGGGGGGCGCACTGACTGCCGCCTGCCTGCCTGCCAGCTCGCCAGACCGGCTGCTCGAAGAGGGGAGTGAGTGAAGTGAAGTTCTCTCTCCTCTCCTCTCCTCTCTTCAGTCAGCTCTGTGTTCTGTGCTTTGCTCAGTTGTGTGCGTGTGCCTGCTCGAGGCTGGTGCCCCCTGTGCGCCGCGTTCGCCCGCCCGTCCGTCAGACTACGCCTCCGCGGCGCTTCGCGCGGCCCCGTCCCCGTCGTCGACGTGGTGGTGCACATCGAAGTGCCCCGCTCTCTCCGGGCCAGCCGGCTGGCGTTCGCGAGTGTGTGACACTGTGACATTAAGGCCTGCCATTGGGATTATACTTCAGCTGCAGGATGGACCGCAGGGAGCCCGCGGCCCCGGCCCACGGCCTCTAGCCGAGTAGGCGGGGGAGTGCGCGCCCGGCACGGCACGGCAACCCGAAGCGAGGTACATTACTCTAGACGGACTTCTCTACGGGCGACAGGAACAAGGCTTGTCATTGTGTGTGTGTGTGTGTGTGTGTTTGTGTGTGTGTGTGTGTGCGCGCGCGCGCGCTCGCCCGCTCGCTTGCGGTGTGTTGGCCGAGTGCTGTTATCAGGTGCAATAGTGCAATAAAATGGCAACAGGCCGCGCTGGCAGCGCATATCCCGTAGCGCCCTTGACACACACGTCCCGGTTACACCTTAGTAACCCCGCGCATCACACCCCTGGACCCGCGACCCCCTGGGCCGCCGCTGCACGCCCCGCGGCAGGTGCGGCAGGTGCAGCTCATTAGAGAAAGAGTCGTGCCCGGCCCGACCTGCTGGTCCGCTCGTTTTTGACGGACTCGCCGGTGTGTAAAGTGAGAGGGTAGGCCAATCACGAGGAGCGCTCTTCGTGTGGCTCGCCCCGCGGGTCACCTGCTCAGGTGTCGACGACTCTTTTACACACATGCTACGCCGAACACCAACGCCACCACCACAAGCGACACCGTCCTAGCAGGTGTGGTTTGTGTGTGTGGTGTGTCCGTAGATGTTCGTGGCCCTTACGGTGCACCTGCAGTGCTGTGCGCACGCGTGCCGTGGGCAGGCTGGGGGCCTGCTTCACATGGGCGGACCCGCTCCTGCTGCAGCTGCCTCTGATGTCAGGTTACAGGTCGGTTGTTGCCTCCTGGTTGTTGCTCCTTACCTTCTCCGTGCCCCCCCCCCCCTCTCCTGCTTGTCCAGCTCCGAGCTGTCACGAGCGAGACAGTCTCTCGACCCGGATATGGCCCCGCCAGACCGGGCAGGCCCACCCAGCTGCTCTCTGCACACGCGACCCGCGATTGTGCGTGACGCCCGTCATGCTCGTTTACCGGTTCAACGCCGTACATGCGGGCGCAGCGGAAAATCATTGACCGTGGTCAGTGTGCGGCGTACTGCGGGGACTGTATTTAGAGGGAAAACTGTGTGTGTGTGTGTGTGTGTGTGTGTGTGTGTGTGTGTGTGTGTGTGTGTGTGTGTGTGTTGTGTTGTGTACGTAACAGACGGACTGATAGACAGATATGGCGAGCGCCTGCAGCTGGCCGGTGGGCAACACGGCGACACACGTGCGCGCGTGGTGCCTACCTTGCAGGCGACCTCCCCCGACCCTGACCCTGACCCCCGTCCGTCTCGTTTGCAGGTGATGGGGTTCTCGGCGGCGCTGCAGAGCAAGGCTGCGCACGAGGCCCTCCTCTGCCGCCAGGATGCCGAGGTGCGCTTGCTCGAAGTCATGCGGCGCTGCATCGTCAGCAAGGTGCGCTCCGACCGCGACTACGCCCTGGCCCTGTCCGCCCTCGTCCAGCAGGGCCTCAAGGAGCGCGCCGAGGACCTGGCCGGGAGCCTGGTCGCCAAGGTGAGACTGAGTTTCTTCTAAACTGACCCCCTTTGACCCCCTGTGGCCCGCCTTCTGATCGCCCCTTCTCCCCTCCAGGCGTGGCGCGGCATGCTCGAAGAGCTGGACAACACGGGCAAGGCGGTGCGACAGAACGCCGACTGCCTGGAGAAGGACACGCTGGAGAAGCTCAACACGCTGCGCGCCGAGAAGCTCAAGGCCCGCATGCAGTACAAGGAGGAGCACAACCGCATCGCTCAGCAGTTCACCACGGTGAGTCCGTCCCCGGGGGACGTTGTTGGACGTGCGTGTCATGTCATGTAGTGGTGGTGCCCGTTGCTCGGCAGAGGTGTGTCGTGTAGTACGTACCGCGCTCGGCCTCGCTGCCCGCCGCACCGCGGCCTCGGCTTGGCTGCGTGCCGGGCGGTGCCGGGGGCCGGGCCGCGGCCGGCGCGCGAGCGTCCCGATTGTGCTCGCGGCCAAATCGACTTCCTTGACGCCTCGCCTTCACGCCTGGTGCGAGTTGAGGGATCCCGCCGGGTCTCTCGCCACCCTGCGGGAGTATAAGCGTCGCCCCACGATCGAGAGCCCGCACCCCGTAAAACATATGTATTCCGAGATGACGAGTGTTCGGGCCACCCGGCTCACCAGTATAGAGCACATTCTAGCGCAGCGGCGTGGGGCGGCGCGGGGCACGGGTGGAGTGAGTTGGGCCCCTTGGGCGCGCAGGGGGTCGAGCGGCCCGGCGGTTCCTGGCAGCCGTCCAGGTGGCCATATGAGCGCTCGGCCGTGGTGGGGCGTGGCTGCGTGGCCGGCGAGGCCCAGCGGGAGCGAGCCCAGGCCGCTCAGGGCTCTGATTGGGACCCGAGAGGGTCACCGGCAGGTCACCGGGGCCAGCGGCGGCCAAGCGCCCCCATCACCACCACTCACCACTCTGCGCTGATGATGCCTGGGCGCTAATTTACCCTCGCCGGCTCTTCTGCTTGCCCTGCAGCGCGGCGGCGGGTCCGGGTCCCGGGTCGGCGCCGGCGGCCAGGTGTTCCGCGCAAACACACAAACGAATGAGCTGCGCGCCCGTCTTTGCGCCATTGTTTTCCCTCCGCGCTTCCGCCGATAACCCGTATCTCTCTTGGGCTTTGCTACGGCTGGCGCGCCACGGCCACGGCCACGATGAGTCAAGCGGCTTCCGGCGACTCAACCTCCTCCTCGCCATGGGTACGACACGCGATGACTGCATAAGTACGAGCAATAGTGCTCCCGGTCGCGCCGGATATCGCCGTGTATCGTGAGATTCTGACATTTCGCTGCACGTTATAGCGGTTTGCTAATTGTCTCGGGCGGCTGCGAGTAGTCCGGCGTGGAGCAAATCCCCTGGCCCCCTTCCCCCCGCGGGCAGCAGCAAGCGGCCTCCATGCAGGAATTTCTGTTGCAGCTCTGCCCGTTTTTTTCTCCCGCAGCTTTGAGTCTGGTCGGGCGTAAGCGTTCATCCCCGAGGAGTCGCCCGAGGAGAGTACGGTAGTACGGCGGCGATGGGAGAGCGTTCGCTCGCGGCCTCCCAGCTGTGAGCGACGACAGCAGACGGATCGTCCACTTCGCCCCGTTTGGCGTGGCGGGGCGTGGGGCGTGGGGCGGTGCACGCGCTCTTCCCATTTCTCTCGCGATATGTGCTCCCCCCGCTGCCCCCCTGCCGCGGCGACGGTGTCTCTCTCGCTCCTGAAGGTGAAGCCCATCGCGAGCCTCCGCATCAAATCCTCCTGGGATGAACCCGCCTCCCTGACCGGTCCCATCAGGCCGGCCGGCTGGCCACGTGCACACGTGTCACTGCTAATGCATTGCCTAAGCGAAGGGGGGCTGCCTGGGATGTGGGCCACCGAGCGGCCGGTAACGGGTGGTGGGTCCGGGACACGGTCCGGGACGGGACGACGGGCGGGCATACCTTCACTGCCACCGGTAGAGCCGGGTTCGGTTCGGATCCTCCACTCATCTCCACCGTCTCGCGCACTTACGCCGGCGCCCGGCGGCGCGGCGCGTACAAAGTTGCGGCCGGTGCGAGCGGCACAGGTCGGCCCCGCGGCCCCGCGCCCCTCCCCGCCGGAGCAGGGCGGAGCGCAGTAGCAGAGCGGCATTGCAGACGAGATCTAAATTTAGCGGCCGAACTCAATTCCGTGGCAACGCCGGTCCTGCCGCGACTGTATAGAGGCACTGGTGCGCCGCGCGATGCACTCGGCCGGCGCGGCTCTATGCGGCTCCTCCACTCCGAGGTCGCGGCTGAAGCCCTTACTGTCGCCCCCGGGGGCCCTCCTGGTCGTGGGCGGCGCCCTCCGCTCTCCACCTCCACCCCGCCCCGCACGCTTCTGGCGGTCGCGCCGCGCCGGCTGAATCTGAATGAGGTTAATGATGGTAAGAGGACACCTCTTCTAATGGCGCACCGAGGCTCTGCCCGGCTCTGCCCCGGAGCCGGAATGCGCGGCTTCTTTGTGGATCCGCGGCTCGGGCTGCGCGGCTCGTCCGCCGCGGCGCCCCGCTCTCTGCCCACACAGTTTGCTGCTGAACTGGCGCAGCGAGCAGCGGCTCAACCCGTCGCGTGGGGGTCGCGGCCCCGGCCTGGCCTGGTCTGGCCTGGCCAGCACGGCTTTCCGTGTTCCGCATGACTGTTTTGGGAGTCCGCGGCATCTGCGCCGGCGGGGACACCGCGAAATGAAAAGTAAGAGCTGCCACCACTGCCGCGCCGCGGCGCTATGTGGGTCCAGACCGTTTCTAATGGGGGGCGTTTCAGTCAGTGACCCGGCGCGGCATTGTTCCATGTGGTGGTCGCGGAGCGTCGAGCCGGCCGGAGTTGATTACTTGTGTGATTACCCCCGAGGTAACTCCCGCCGCCCTCTGACCCGTGCCGCAGGGGTCCCGGTCCCGGCGGTTACCCCGATGGCTACCCCAATGGTTACCCCGGTCATTACTCCAGTGGTTACCTCGGTTGTTCTGCCCTGGCACCGCGGCCGCGGTGTGGGGAGAACCTGAGAGGCGCGGCAGAGACGAGGGCGGTGTGAGGGTACCCCGGCTCCTCGACCTCGACCCCAGTCAGGGACACCCGTTTGAGGCCCTGCCGGTGAAGGTCGAAGGTCACGGTGAAGACCCCGGTCCGGTGTAGCATCCCCGCCACGCCGGGCCGCTCCGGCCCGGTGCGGTGTGGCCCTGGGGGCCTCGGGGTCAGCCGTGCCTACCCGGCCCCGGCCCCCAGTCGATGGCGTTGACCCTGGGGAGGTGACTGCTGTCTACTGTCCCCGCGTCGGCGGCGCCACGGCGGTCCGGCCGGTCAGCATCTCTGTGGGTCACGGAACTCGTCCTCATCGAGGCGTCTTCAGCCGGAGCCCCCCTTCCCCTTCGCACTGCCCCTGTCTCTCTCTCTCACACACACACACACGCATGTGTGTCGCGCCGTGTTGCTGACCAGCCGAGCGCCGCCCCTCGCGGCCGCCGTTGGTTGACATTGGGAAGGAATGATGATTCCCGGAATGCCGCGCGCTGCCCAGGGCGGTCCCGGTCCCGCCATGACGGCATTTGCCGTGGCAGCCCACTTTTCCATCACGCACGCGCACGCACGCACGCACGCACGCACACACACACACACACACACACACACACACACACACACACACACTTTGACGTTAGTTTTTTCCCTGCGGCGCCTGCAATAGTGTCGCTCGCTTCTGTGGTGCGTCGGTGTTGCCCAGCTCAGCTGTTGTCGGTCAATCCTTTGTCGCCAAGAGGCAGGTGCCTGGTGCCATGCGTATGACTGATGCCGTTATACACCAGGGTGACCCATGTGTGACGCGAAGCCAGTGGGCAGGTCATGCAAGGCATGACCTCTCGCCCGTCCCCAATTGTCAAAGGACCGCGAAGTGGTCTATTTCTTGGTCTATTTATTGAACGAGTTCTGAAAGACGCCTGGTGGGATATGCAATGTACAGTGGCATTCCGCCTTGTAAGTATGCAAAACGCCCCTTGTCTGCCACTGCTACAATATGAGTCTGAGGTCAAAGGCCAACGCCCTCAAGTGCGGCGTGACTCGGTGCGCACTGCGCTGCAGCGGCAGCGGCAGCCCGATGACGACGATGACGGCGGTCCTTCCTTCCGGTCGGTGTCGCGCCATGCCATGCGATACGCTGCTGCTAGCGCTGCTGGGGGGCCTCGGGGGCTGCTTATCAGCTGTGACTCTGCAGGGCTCCGCGGGGCCCAGCCTCCAGTGACGATGACGTGTCCGACTGGAGTATGTCTGACCGACCGGGTCGTGCGGCGTCAGGGTGAAACCTTATGAATCATATACTCGTCGTGGGGCAACCTGCTTGAAATTGGACGAGTTGTCGTGTCTATGATGAGACACTTGTGGTGGTGCGGCTCGTTTCGCGGGTCACGACCCTCTCAACGTTGAGTCCACCACCTTCTGGGAGGGTGCTGAGGTACGAAGTGATCGGCTCCAGCTTCGCGCCGCCGCCGCCGCTCCAGCTTCATCTTCCCGTCCCACATGTCGGTTCGCTGCTCGATGCGCGAGTGGACCGCGGCGGAGTGGAGGGAGGGGGGGGGGGACCATATCGCGGGCCCCGCTGCTGCTGCTGCTGCTTCGCTGTTGGGGGGGGGTTAACGGTGCGCAGCCCCGCGGCAGTGCGGCGCGTGAGGCAGGGCAAGGACTGTATCCCGCTCCACTTGTGACACGAGCGGTTTTTCCTTCGAGAGGTATACTATATCGCACTGCAGGCACGTGTGTACGTGGAAGGCACGTCCAAGGTCCTCATCATCTTCTTCCTTGTCGGCGCGGTGCCGCCGCGCGCCCACCGGACGGTACCGGGTAACGTATTGTGGCAACCCTTTATCCCATCGCATACCAAAATAACTACCAAAAGAAATCTAGAACGGCAATCTTTATCAAAACGACGGCAAGCTTTAACATAACGGGAAACTGTTACCTTCGGGTTGTGACAGCCCCCAGGGGGTGTCTAAAGATGGACTTCATGCGCCAGCTTAGGGCACCTCATCGGGTTGTGGGTGTCTCGTGCATATGGGGAAGCGGCCTTTGGGGCTCATCCATGTTGTCGTTCTGCTGAGCCGCTATGGCGGGAGCGGGAAGTTGTCGGGCGTGGCTCGGCGTGGCTCAGCCCGGCTGGCCGCTCGTCGTCGGGGGTGGTCAGTCCCCAAGGTTAGCCTGCCCCGCCGTCGCCCGCCCCGCTCGGCCCCCGAGGCTCGGCGACGTGCTCGCTATCTTGTCTCACAATCCGGAGAGTGGACTGCTCATTGTATTGTTCTCGCCCGAGGAGAGGGCGGGGCGAGGCTTGGTGGGGTGGGGCTGCCTCTCGGGGAGCGAGAGAAAGAGCGAGAGAGATGACGAAAAGTTACCAATGCTGCAAATTGTTGGAGTATGGGGGCCGTCCGGCCGCGGACACCTGTGGCGGCCCGGGCGCACCTGTGGGGCAGCCAGGCCGAGTCACGCAGCTGAGCTGACACCTTGCTAGGTGCGTGCGGTGCGCCTGCCACTGCCAGGCCACGTGGAGACCTCTCAGGTCACCCGGGGGTTATCCTTCGGTTGCCTGTGTGGTACCCTGGAGGTGCCCTGGAGGTGCCCTGGAGGTGCCCTGGAGGTGAGCCTGGGGTGCCTGACGGGCCCGCCGCTACATACTACATCCCTCAGCCCATTGTATGCAAATGGACTGACGCTGTTTGGCGGCGCCGCCCCTGCCGCCCCGCCCGGCTTTAGTTTGGCACTCCGCTGCACCTGACCCCCCACTCCTCTCCCATTACATCCAATCGTTATTCCTCGTTTCATTTATCCTTCACATAATCATTCTTCTTCCTGGCTGCTTTTTTCGCCGGTCGCGGCGACGACGCCTCTCGTCGTGTCGCGGATCGTGCTCCGCTCCGCCCGCCCGCTCCCCGGCCCGTCTGCCCGGCGCCGCACTTGCGCTTCCGGCGCGTCGGTGTTTTCCTCGCGGCGGGACAGTTTCATGCGAGCCGCCTCCGCCGTGGCAGCAGTGGCAGTACCTCCATCCTCCTTCTTTCCGCCTTCATTTACCGCCCAAGCTTTTTGCGCGAAGTGTTTCTTTTTTTTCGATCCACTCATCTGCACTTTCGCGCCGTACATGCGGATAGAGGCCGGCCGGTGCTGCGGTGCCCCCCCCCCTCTTTTTCCTCCCGGGCCGGGGCGCTGCTGCCTTGTGGGGCGTCTCGCGGCCTGGACACCAGCTGACTGCGAGCAGCCTGGCGTCAGCCTGGAAATAAGAAAAGAAATGGGGTGACCGCGATGTTCGGCGGCGGCGGCGCCCTCGGCCCCGGTGTGGCGGCCCGGGCGGCCCAGGTGTGGCCGGAGCTGTTCTTATCCAAAGTCTAGTCCTCCGGAACGCCACGTAGGGTCCCGCTGGGGCGAGGGCTGGCCCTTGCAATGGCTAGTCTAGAAGCTGACGATCAGCAGCAGCTGCAA